TTCTTTACGACCTAAATTATTGCTGGTGCGTTGGCTACAGCCATTAAACCAAATTTTAAAAAATTATTAGGCGTATTGGCCGTATTTACCTAGGAACACGAATAATACGTCTCACACGTATTATCCATCTAGTAAATACGGGAAATCCGACGCATTAAACGTCAGACGAACTTAACAATTTTACGAAACGGACGCTTTTAGTGTCTCAGATGTATAGTTGTTCGAGTTAAATACAAGACAAATACTACACATTTTCCTGAACTGAGAATCTGCTCAATCTGTAAATAAGCGACCAACAGTCTCTCTGGCAAGAACTTTGTCTGTGAAAAAACACAGGAGTTTAATGCGTTCCATATTTACCTAAACCCACTTATAATGTTCGACGCATTATGCATCCGAGACACATTATTCGCCTTCTTGGTAAATGCAGCCGTTGAGAACATTAATGATAATGATGCTGATTTATTTTATACATCGCCTTTTGCTTTATATTAGCTGGAAGGGGTCATTTTACGAGGGGAAATATAAAACTGGCCTCAGAAACCCGAGTTTCTCTGAGTTTTCNGCTATGCACAAATAGTTCTACCTTCGCGCGGGTTATGCAAATCGCAAAGTATTTCGCTCGAGTTCACAAGCTATAACAACGTTACGTTCTAAATGCTGTTTCGATCACCGTATTTCCAAATCGTCGGGTAATGTCCTCTTTCTTCGTTTGTCTCGTATTTCCTGTGTTATTCGCATTCCCTATGTTATTTCCATTGTTGCAATTAGTTGTTCCTTCTTAATGTATTATGTTTGTCACCTTTATCCGAGAAGTCACTGGCAACGTCATGTGCAATTTAAGAATTTAAGATGTTCGAGTTGTTCACAATTGTATTAAATTTCTCTACGACCTAAATTATTGCTGGTGCGTTGGCTACATCCATTAAATCAAATTTTAAAAAATTATTAGGCGTATTGGCCGTATTTACCAAGGAACACGAATAATGCGTCTCACACGTGTTATCCATCTAGTAAATACGGGAAATCCGACGCATTAAACGTCAGACGAACTTAACAATTTTATGAAACGGACGGTTTTAGCATCTCAGATGTATAGTTCTTCGAGTTAAATACGAGACAAATATTACACATTTCCCTGAACTGAGAATCTGCTCAATCTGTAAATAAGCGACCAACAGTCTCTCTGGCAAGAACTTTGTCTGTGAAAAAACTAAGGAGTTTAATGCGTTCCATATTTACCTAAACCCACTTATAATGTTCGACGCATTATGCATCCGAGACACATTATTCGCCTTCTTGGCAAATGCAGCCGTTGAGAACATTAATGATAATGATGCTGATTTATTTTATACATCGCCTTTTGCCTTATATTAACTGGAGGGGGTCATTTTACCAAGGGAAATACAAAACTAGCCTCAGAAACCCGAGTTTCTCTGAGTTTTCAGAGGTAAGTGAACAACACGTTTTTCACTTCGTATAATTATCCATAGCTTTACGTACTGTAATAAACGTTTACGATGATGCGTACATGGGTAGGTCTCTTGCATGGTTAAAAAACAGGAATAATGAAGAGATATTTGCGCGTTGCTTCGTCATTACTTTTGCTTCGACGTTTAGCTTTAAATATTTGTAATGACAAGGATGATAACTGACTCGCTTTCAGATCAATTTTTAGGGGATCACAATTATTATAACTTGGGAGACTAAAATAATCAATGCAAAATCACATTTTTCGACACGCACTGTGAAAGTCCAAATACTCGCAAGCAATGGTCGAAAAAAGGCATTCCCAATATACCTATACGCAAGCACAGAACGTCTAAAGAAAGGTCTGTCAATTAGCAGATCATCTTTCTTTTCAATTGTCGGTTCATTCGGGTAAACTAGGGGCGCGTTCTATTCAACCGAAAATTCCTGAAATTCCTAGTGAAAAATTTCCGAAAATTTCGGTATACCTCGCAAGGTTGTCTTCTTTTCCTGAAATTCCAGAAAATCCTGTTCTATTCGCCACTGGAAATTCTCCAAAATGCAATCCGGAAGTTTATTGTTCTCACTCATTCAACCA